CAGATGCAAGTGGTAAGGTGATTGAAGAACTGATGGATGAAAGAGAATTGGTCTGTTTGAATGATGGTAGAGGAACTAGAATAATGTATTAACAGGGATTGAGTCAGCATTAGACATAACGTTAGTGTCTAATTCACTGGCTAGAAATAGTAATTGGGAGGTCTGGACAGCATCCACAGTGGGGAGTGATCACTACCCTGTCTTATGCTCAGTGGGTGGAAGATTGGAAGCGGGACCAGAAGATAGATTGCCCAAATGGAATTTTAGTAAAGCTGACTGGGACAATTTTAAGAAATGTAGCGATTATGCAATGATGAGGGTTGAGGTCTATGGGGACATAGATGAAGTTAATAAACAGGTTACTTCTGCAATTATTAGGGCAGCAGAGGAAGCTGTCCCTAAGGGGAGAAAAATTATAAGTCGAAAGATGGTGCCATGGTGGAATGAAGAGTGTTATCAGGCGGTAAGAGATAGAAATAAAGCTTTCAGGATACTTAAAAGAACTCATAATTTGCAACATTTTATTCAGTATAAGAAGGCTCAAGCAGTAGTTAGAAGAACAGTACGCCAAGTAAAGAGGACCAGCTGGAGGAAATTTTGTGACAAAATAGGAAGAACCACACCAGTGGGAGAAGTGTGGGGAATGATAAAAAGGATGGGAGGAGACAGAAGGCAGTGGGAATACCCAGTTATGGCATTTGAAGAGGAAATAGCGGTTTCAAACAAGGAGAAAGCAGAGATTATGGCTAAATCATTTGTAATGGTTCATAGTTCAGAAAATTTGTCAGAAGAAGGGAGACGGAGAAGATCAGTATCCTTGAGTCAGCATCTTCATGAGTTAAATAGGAAGGAAGAAACTGGAAATGTATTGGATGATCCATTTACCTTAGCAGAGATGGTGAGAGCAATTAAAAGAGCAAAGCCTACGTCTCCAGGAAAAGATCAAGTCTGTTATTTAATGTTAAAGCAATTGGAGGAAATGTCACTGTTGAAACTGCTGGAGATGTATAATAAAATATGGGAGGAGGAAAATTACCAACTACCTGGAAAGAAGCAGTAGTGATTCCAATAAGGAAACCTGGTAAAGATCCTACAAAACCTATTAGTTACAGACCAATAGCTCTTACTTCAAATTTATGTAAAATCATGGAAAGGATGATAGCAGATAAGATTTACCCATGACCTTGAAAAAAGAGGAGTATTGGATAACTGTCAGAGTGGCTTTAGGAAGGGAAGAAATACAATAGATTCTGTGGTAAGATTAGAGACTGAAGTAAGGAAGGCACAAGTGAATAAAGAGAATGTAATAGCAGTATTTTTGACATAGAAAAGGCCTATGATATGATGTGGAAGGAGGGGTTACTGATCAAACTGAATAAGGTAGGGGTTGGAGGGAAGATGTTTAATTGGGTAAAGGATTTTCTTTTCGAAAGGAAAATACAAGTAAGAATTGGGACAGACATGTCAAATCAATATACAGCTGAAAATGGCACACCTCAAGGGAGTGTGATAAGTCCGTTACTCTTTATTATTATGATCAATGATGTATTTGGTAGAGTTCCAGAAGATATAGGAAGGTCGCTATTTGCAGATGATGGGGCATTGTGGAAGAGAGGTAGGAATATGGAATTTGCAAGCAGGAAAATACAGGAAGCAATTGATAAAGTGGTTGAGTGGGGATATGATTGGGGGTTTAGGTTTTCTATAGAAAAGACACAGTCAGTCTTTTTTACAAGGAAAAGAATTCCGGAAGGAATGAAGTTACAAATGTATGGAAGAGACCTAGAGAGGGTTGGAAGTTTTAAATTTCTAGGAATTAATTTGGATTCACGATTAACATTTACAGATCATATCAGGAAAATGGAGGAAAAGTGCAAAAAGGTAATAAATGTAATGAGATGTTTGAGGGGAAGAGAGTGGGGTGCAAGCAGATTATCACTGAAAAGAATATATGTGGCTCTAATACGGTCAGTCTTAGATTATGGTAGTGTAGTATTTGGGTCGGCAGCTAAATCGCAGTTAAAAAAGTTAGATGTAGTCCAGGCACAGGCACTGAGAGTATGTTGTGGAGCTTTCAAAACCACACCAGTGTCAGCCATACAGGTAGAAATGGGGGAATTGCCACTAGAGTTAAGAAGGAAGCAGTTGATGGCTAACTATTGGGCAGGGTTACAAGGGCATAATAATTCACATCCCACTAAGGCAGTATTGCAGGAGAGTTGGGAGAATGGGAAGAATCTAAAGGACAATTTTGGTCGGATTGGAAATGTTGTAGCTAAAGAATTAGAAGTGTTTCATTTGAGGATAAGTTCTACGGTAGTCTATCCAGAGATTGCTCCGTGGAAGCTCTTCTGGCCTGAGGTAGACTGGTTTGTGCTAGAGGAAAAAAGGAAGGCAAAGGAGGATATTAATTTGGAAAGAGTGTTTAAGAATTGGGTACTGGAAAAATATAATGAATATATAAAGATTTATACAGATGGTGCTAAGAACCCAGAGACAGAAGTAACAGGATTGGGGGTGGTGTTACCAGATAGAGGTATAGGAGTAAATAGAAGAACATCTGATAAGTTAGGGGTTTACACAGTGGAAATGCTGGCCATGTTAATAGCATTAAGATGGGTGGAAAAGACAGGACAGGACAAAGTTTTGATATGCTCAGATTCGGCATCAGCTCTAGCTAGTCTAAGGTCATTCTATTCTAAAAGTCGTCAAGATATACTGTTTGAAGTACTCCAGTCAGTGACAAGAATAGTAAATCAAGGAAGACAGGTGAAATTTATATGGGTCCCAGGTCATGTAGGGATAAAGGGGAATGAAATGGCAGATAAATTAGCAAAAAGGGCATTAACAAAAGGAAAAATAGAAATGCAAGTAAGTGTTAGCAAAGCAGAGGTTAAAAGTGTAATATGGGAGAGAATAAATCAAAAGTGGCAAGAGAGGTGGGATGGAGAAGGGAAAGGTAGGCACTTATATCAAATCCAAAGGGAAGTTAAACATAAAATTGTTGATAGTGGAAATCGGAGAGAAGAAATTGTGTTAACTAGGCTAAGACTGGGACATTGCTTATTAAACAAAACACTTAAATTGATAGGGAGGCATGATACTGGACTGTGTGAGGGTTGTCAGGAAGAGGAGTCAGTAGAGCATGTGGTCTTGAGATGCAACGGGTTTGGAGCACAGAGAGAGGTGATGAGGAATGAGCTAAGGGAGATAGGGGTTCAGGATATTACATTAAAAGGATTATTGAGCACAGAGCATAGGGCACAGACCAGAATTCTTATAAACTTTTTAAGAGTAACTGGGGTTTTTTATAGGATATGAAGAGTTAAAGGAATAGTGAGGTAGGTAAAGTATTATTATTATTGTTGTTGTTGTTGTTATTAATGTTATTATAAAGCAGGGCAGGGATAAGGTGTGCGTGTGTAGGTATGTATGTGTCGGGATAAAGGTGGGAGAATGGGTGATTTAGTCTGTAAACCTATTTTCTGATCCACACTCCGGAGCAGAAGGTGGCGGTAATGCACCAATACGCTGGATGCCAACCGCCGTAAAAATATAAGAAGAAGAAGAAGAACGCTATTAACAGCAAGAGAAGAAGAATTTTAAGATTCCGCGCTAATGTTTAGTTTTAAATAAGTATAAACCGATTTCATTTGTATGCTCATTATTTGTTATCTGAGTAGAAATGCATTTTAACAAGTATAAAGATAAACATAATCAAGAGTCGAATTTGTCGTCTTCTTTTATTAATGGTGAGTAACGTTAGTCGGAATATAGATTCATTATTGTTAACGGTTTTATTCCCCCGTGGTATTATCAGTCATGTCTTTATTACAGCTCCCAATGATAAAACACTGGTAATGGCGTCTAAAGAGAAAAAAGAAAACATAAGAATCGGCAAACAGACGGCAACAGTGTACGCAGCAAAGATAAAGACCAAAATACACAGTAAGAAATGCTAAACAGATTCAGTTGTCTGCATTACTGATGTAGCTTGTGCTCTTATATGTTAGGAGTTGACCAATGACAATAAATGGACCTTTATTATCTCTTAGATACCTCATCATTCTTCAAGCTTTCTTTGAAAAGCAACAACAAGGCTCTGGCTCTGGCTCTTGTTGCTCAGAAGCAGAAGAGCAGAGAGCTGGAGGCAGAGGTGGTGCGACTGAGGAAAGATGCGCAGACAACTCATTTTGATCTTGCTCATCAGCGTCATAAAAACAAACAACTGGTGAGTCTGACAGTGAAAACCAGTTATATGGCTGTATTTATATACTGTACACTTGTACAGACATGTCAAGATTCACTCTAGATTTTGAAAACATTGAGCTTGTGCTTGACTTTAAAAACAAAGAACATACATTATATTTCATACCAGTATATGTAGTTAACGTAGTTTTTTGTTGTTGTTGCTGTCTCTAGTTTGGAATTATACGAGAGTTTTATGACTCTTCCCTAAACTGGATGACAAAGGCAGTTGATATTTTTTGTAATGAGGTAAGCAGTCAATGTATTTGTCTAATAATTAAATAATATGGTTATTTTTGTTGTTGTGGTGGTGGTGGTTGTTGTTAATAATAAGAATAATCAGCATAATAATAATTATCAGGACTTCAGCCAAGCTTCTGTGATTGTTCACATATAGCTATTTGTTAGATAGACACAATATTATTAATACATATTTTTATTATAATTCATATTAAAGCTAATTATTATTTTAAAGGATCCAGACAGTATGGACTCAGAAAACAAGACCAGTGAAGGTATGGAAACAATTTGTAGCTGTTTATTGTACACAAGGGATAGTTCACCCAAAAAGGGAAAATTCTTTCATTAATTTCTCTCCCTTGTGTTGTTCCAAACCCATAACCTTCGTTCATGTTCAGAACACAAATTTGTTCATGTTCAGAACCAAGCTTTCTGACTTTGAAATTGTTGAATAAAGTCATTATTTTAGTTTTCTTTGTGCCCAAAAAGCAATCTCGTAGCTTCATAACATTACGTTTGAACCACTGATGTCACATGGACTATTTTAACGACGTACTTACTACCTTTCTGTGCCTTGAACGTGTCAGTTGCGTTGCTGTCTATTTAGGGTCAGAAAGCTCTCCGATTTCATCAAAAATATCTAATTTGTGTTCTGAAGATAAACAAAGGGCTTAGGGAATTTTTATTTTTGGGTGAACTATCTCTTTAAGAATGTCAGTCAAGTTTAGTTAAGTTGGAATGATTGGCACTGTTATGTCAACTCATAGAAATTAAGCTAATATTAATTTCTTTGTACATTACTGCTAACAAAATGAGTCTCTTGATGCTGTATTTAAATTTGTGATTTATTTTTCAGACCAAATCATTGAAATGGGAGAGGTTGAGAGTTTGCAAGACAGACCTTTGTGTCCACAGCAGCATCATGTTCAGTCTGAACCAGTGAATTCAGCCGGTGATGCTCCCAGCCAAGAGAGAGATAGTTCAGCACAGCAAAACACCATATATGACTCTGAAATGGAGATGACCATTAGTGACAGTGCTGCTGAAATAGTAACAGTTGAAACAAATGCCAGAAAAACCTCTAGAGTTACAGAAGAACACCAGGAAAAGAAGGATTTGTGTCTATCAGAAAAAGGTAGTGAGTTTATATCTGCGAAGGAAGACTCACCAATTGAATTTAGTAGATTAGAATATACATCAGCTGTGCCAAAAGAGATGACTGCTGTCACACAGCAGTGCTCTCCCACTGTTCAGAGAGAGGTGGAGAATGGGCAGCAAATGGATTCAATAACTGCACGCAGGAAGACTCACGTCACCTCTCGTTGTACTAAAAGTAGCAGACGCACATGTAAACTGAAAGAATCAAACCCAGATCCAAGAAAAACATACCTGATCTCCCAAGATCCTCATGACATTTTTAATGACTGTTTTAGTGATCCTGAGCTTCAGAATTCTGAAAGAAGCAAGGCAATGCCTTCACATGGAAATAATTCAAATAAAGCTGCTAAAAGCAAAGCTAAAGAGTCCCATGCTACCCGGGAAACCAGGAGAACAATTATAGATCAAGTTGAGCTAAGACCTCAGAAGAGCAGGAAGACCAAAGTCTTGTCCCTTATGATGGATCACAGTTTATCGGATATGCATGAAAATGTTCAATCTGCCAGTACTTTATGCCCAGAGGCTGCTTGTACGGATGTCCATGTCGGTGAGACCGCAGTTCAAAAACATAAAAACAAAACTCCAGCACACCCTCTTCCTCAGTCTGAAAAGTGCAAGACACAGAAAAACAGAGGAACATTTGTGATACAGGCAAGTCAATCATTAATCAACAGGAATTCATTTTTGAATGAAACCAATATATTAGAAGATCCCAACAGACTGGAAGGTTTACAGGAAGTAATATCAGAAACCCAAATGACACCTCTCAGTATTGGTTCAGATAATGTTGCACAACAGCACAAGGAGCCAGAGCATGATTTTCATGAGATACTGACAGAAAACACCTATCATCCCAAATGTTCACAAGATGTGAATGCCAGCCTTGTACAGGAACCCTCTGAATTTATGTCATCAGTGGCTGGCAAAGCCAAAAAACACAGAAAAGAGGGGGCAGATAAAATAAAAAAGAACGCAGCGGCTGCACCAAGAGAAAAACCCAAAGCATTAACAAAGAAACAAAACCGTTGTGCTGTGAGTGTGGATGAAACTGTGTTGACAAAAAGGCAAGATGAGACTGATCTTCAGAATGGAGCAGGATGCAGGTCTTTGTCTAATACTTTACAGCTACCAGTAGTATCTCATTGCTCAGCCTCAAAGGAGGACCTCAGGGATGAACATAATGCTGAAACCCTTGAAATAAGTTCCCCTTCCTCTGTTGACGAACTAGATCAGACTGACCATATCAACGTGGACTCTCTTTGTATAAATCTGGATCAAACCAACCAAGCACTTGAGGGCAGGTGCAGGAAAACATACGTTGTTTCATCTTGTGATGAATCACCCCTTAAGGAAAAGACTGACAGTGGGGCTTCCAGCGACATTTCTGAACATGATCTTTTTACTAATGAAACGGATTATGTTTCACCTGTTATGAACAGAAGCATGTTTGTCATGGAAAAATACAATGTGACTTCAGATGGTTTTAGTGGACACACAAAAGACCTTCAATTCACAGAAGAGAGGCCTCCCTGGGAGACCCTTGATGGTTACACTGTAGCACTCTTAGATGAAAGCTCTGCCCACAGCCCTCAACCAGAGACCCGCTGTCAATCTATGAACATTTACCAGGACCAGGACTCAGACTTGAGGCACCAAGCTCCAGGTAAACCTTATGAATAAGCCTAAATGATTTGCCAATGTTTGTATTTTTAAGGAGACACAATAATACATATGTGACCATGGACCACAAAACCAGTCTTAAGTCGCTGGGGTATATTTGTAGCAATAGCCAAAAATACATTGTATGGGTCAAAATTATCGATTTTTATTTTATGCCAAAAATCATTAGGATATTAAGTAAAGATCATGTTCCATGAAGATATTTTGTAAATTTCCTACCGTAAATATATCAAAACTTCAAAAAAACGTTTTGATTAGTAATATGCATTGCTAAGAACTTAATTTGGACAACTTTAAAGGCGATTTTCTCAATATTTAGATTTTTTTGCACCCTCAGATTACAGATTTTCAAAAAGTTGTATCT